GATATTTGCAGATGAACTACTCTTCAGTGGCAACCCAAGATCAAGACTAGATAGTACATACCAAATATATCGATTTCACAAAAACTCCATAACTAAGTAGCATAAGAAACAATAGAAAACAAAGAAAGAAAATAAAAATACCTCGGAAACATTCCAGGAATAGGAGCTTTCGACGTAATAGGCACAGCCTGCAAATCCCAGTCACTCTCCATGGTGGGATGATAAACCTGGCATCTCAAATATGTCTCGCAAGTTGCAGTCCCAATCAACCAGAGCTTGTTCTTACCCTCATTCAGACCATCAGCTCCACCAAATCTGGCCAGTAGCTTCGACATCTCCACCACCAGAGCCCGGCCCAATTCGGACACAACCGGTGCCTTCTGCTGCTGCTGGGCCCCACTGAAACCTGCAGCCGCTGGCTGCTCCACCAGCCACCTCAAGTCTCCAAGATCAAGAATCACCCCTCCGTTCCCAATCTTACTCTCAATCGCCCTTTCAAATTCATCGATCTTGGCAGCTATTTGATTCTTGTCGGACAAAAGAAGACTTTTATCAATTGATATTATCTGAAGATTCTTCATATCCAGATCATTTCCGATTTCATTATTTTCTATTTTTCTGAACAATTCCTTGGCCACGGCCTCAGGCTCCGAATCCCCCACAATAACTGGGTTTCTTCTTTTGCTCCTAGACATTATATCGAACAGCTTTTTGACTTCCTCGCCTCTAGGGTTCTCATTCTGGGCGGTGGGTGTTTGTTGCTGTTGCATATGCGGATTCAGGAACGAGCTCTGATTGGCCAGCGACGGGACCGCCGGAGATATCAGCCGAGCCACTGGAGTTGGCGGTTGACCAGGACTTGGAAGCAGTCTAGAAACAACTCCACCGAAACCCGCCCCGAAATTCGCGCTCCCGCCGGCGACATGGTGCTGACGTTGACTTGCGCGAGAGCTGGAGCTATTTAGGGATTGCTCGATTGTGGCCTTCACGGCCGGGCTGGAGAAGCTGGCCTCCCTCATCACGCGGCTCACGC